TTTCCGATTTCTTGCCTGTTGCGAACGCCGGTGTGTTTCGAGATATTCAATAATTGGCGGGCAAAAAAAACAAGCCTTGCACGCGATGTTTGGTGTGACCGCTCGACAGGAATCAAGCAAGCCAGCTGAGCCCCAGGGATAACAAGCCCAAAGTGGCTTGTTTCGGTGTGACCGCGGCCTTAGTTTCTCTGACCATATTACTAAAATCACTAGTAAGTATCGCAGTAGAGTATTTCTATTATGCCACATGACCCGTTGTCTCCCCGCACCAACCATCAATTTACTGTATAAATGTTAAGTGAGACCCTTACTGGAGTATGCTGTCCCTGTTTGACTGTTCGCCATGTCGTCTACGCAATCCTGCACATTGGATCGACTACAAGCTACTGCTGCCCGATCCTACCTAATGCGTAAGACCCGACAGCTTCCTACTTGGACAACATCCAAGAATGTTCTGAATCATCTGTGTGAATGGGAATCGCTCCAATGGCGTCGTCAAATTCTCTCTCCAGTTTATTTTCATCATGTATTCTACCAATTTCCAGCACTACTGAGCCAGTTTAGTTTCACCATCTCCAGCAGCTGCGGCCACCCTTCCTCTATCGTTTTGCCTCGTTCTGGAACTCATTTCTTTAAATCTCCTCTTTTCGGTTTATCAGTTGTCTGGAACAAGCTTCCTGAGAGCCTACGCAGGGAGAGATCTTCTGTTAAGTTTCGGTTTCTCCTGAAGGACCATTATTTAACGTACAAATTCTCCACCACCGGAATTCCTGATTTTCGCATCTAGCTCTCGTCATGTATTCTGTTTCTCCCTGGTGGTTTTACCTGTAGTTTTCCCTGAGCAGTGTTTCTGCTAAGTACTATTTTCCCTTCTCCCTTTTCACTTCCCTTTCGTCTCATCCACCCTTCCAGGAAACTCCCCCGATAAGTATCCATTTACTTTTGGAGAATCCTTCAAATAAAGTCTAAATGTAAATGTAGCACGCATCCGACAACACGCACCGCTACACCTTATTCCACAACACGCACGATCCACTCGACCACGGAGGGGACGTCCAGCAAAGAATCATCCTGGTACAAGATGGTCCAACGCAGCGGCATCAACACCAAGCAACGTCACCTCACAATTAACTAGACCACCAGAAAAACAACCGGACAAGACACCTACTGGCGTGGCAGTGACAGGAACCGCATCAACCAGAAGAATGACAAGATCGGCAACGGCGGCGATGGCAGCGACTAAAGTACAGACAGAGGCAACGGCTAGGGTCCACTCGACTAGCCATGTGAAATCGGATGTGTCCACCGCACATGCTAATTGTTCTGATGTTAGTTCTGATAAGTATGAGTCGTCCATCGCTAGTCATTTGTTTGAGCATCCTGATTGTCGTGCTGTGTATTCAGATGATTGTTTTTCGATTGTGTCACGTGTACGCAGTGCTAGATTGCTGAATGTTTTGGAAGCTGTACACATCCACACAAAGAAACCCAACCTTTGCAAGCAGAAACAAATCAAATTCACACTTAGGCTGTTAGGTAGGTCCTCAAAACCTCGTTAGTTACATGTACTTCCTCCGCGTCATCGAAATTGTCGCAGTTTGACTTTTGATATAAAACGGGGTATTTACTCACCAGCACTCGTACCAGAGGCAAGGAATTGGACATAGGCGATAGTCATCAGTATAGGGTGACGGTAAAGTTCTATTTTCTGTTATTGGAAGCTGGAATTTTTGAACTAGACGCAATTTCTTCGCTGATGTCGCTGCGATGGTAATTTCGACTCGCGGAGATCAGTCAGGCGTTGCAGCCTGCACAATTCTCGTGCTTATGGCCATTCACTCAAGCCTCATCACTGTTTTACCTTAGCTGGGGTGAGAATGACTTCGTGGAACAAGTGGCAGCGCTTGGAGAAACATCGAGGGGTCAGAAAACTAAATGCCTGCAACAGCGATAAAATTTGTCGCTCTGGCTGAGGCACTCAGAACACGATTGTACCTGCAAGAGCCATGTAGACCCTACACATAGTGCTAGTGATGCACGCGCAGGTGCCGTACCATGGTATACCAGTGATGCTGAAAAGCAGGGCGCGCTGGACGCGATAGTACTCTTACCTGAGCTGCATGAGCTGTGGCCAAACAGCAAAAATAAATGGGCATGCCACGGCTAAAAAAAGTTCATTTCAAGATAATCAACCGACCTCGCAACGATCGTGTATTCTTACTAGGCTTCGTTTGTGGTGAAGTAGAAATCATCCGGAGCTAGCAAACGACAAGCATAGCAGCTCTTGTCCTGTGGAGAAAGTCAAAGCGTTTGAGATGAGGCGCGACCAACTTTCAACCTTCCTTGAAATATTTCGGAACGATATTTTTGCGTCCATTGACATCAGCGACGACGAGGACTTCATCTCTGGATGAAAAACTTCAGTCCAACTGTCCTGGAACGTTACTCTAGTCTTCAGACTATCATCTTGTGTAATAAGTTTTGAATGGCTTAGCTTATGGAGTTGTCAGTAACAAGTGACAAGTCACTAGTCAAACTGCGACAATTTCGATGACGCGGAGGAAGTATGTCCAGTGGTTGTCTCTTGTTGTCGCACTACATGTCACGCTTATTGAGTTTTCTCGCATTTGCACCTTTGTGTCATTATTGCAATTTTCGCTGTTTACTTTAGCTATCTTCTTTCTTTCTTTCTTTTTGGCGCTGTTTTACCACCTTCTTACTGTATTTAATCCACTGTTCCTGTTCCTTTTCCCTTGCCTGTATTTCACCTGACGAGAAGGCTTGAAAGTATACTTGTGAAGACAAAAACTTTCAAGATGTTTGTAATGAGCCTGAAGTGTGTCCTTTTTATGAGTAAATGTAGTCTAAATGTAAAAAATTATAATATCCCTATGCTTTTTTTGCCGAAGTCATCAAGGCGGTAGATGGTGTCGTATTACCCTCGACCGTACCTGTCCCGTACCTGTCCCGTACTGTCCCGTACCGTACCGTACCATCAAAGACAGCTGGCCACATTGCATATTCAAATAGGGCTTTCAAATGCAAGATCATAACGTGAAGCAACTTGGAAGAATTAGTATGTATGCGAAGTGTATTGGGGGATGCATTCAGGGCGATAGTGCGGGTTCGAATCCCAGGTTATTTTTTATAGGAAAAATTACAAGAATTTATAATATACCTAAGCTTTTTTTGTCTATGTCATCGAGGCAAAAAAGCATAGCGTAGGGCCCTGAGCTTCCAAGCTCTCTCGTTTGTTGTAAACCAGACGTACATGTACTTCCGTTCGTGAGTTGTCACATTTCTCCTTGCTTTCGCGCGGAATATTTCCTGCAGTTCACAGCGAGTTTTTCCAGGCACCACGTACGGTGAGATGGCAAACTGCCCGGATGATCGCCAGGATTGTCAATGTTTTCGAAATGGACTGTAGGTAACTTGGATCGGTGTGTGAACATAGTTGGTTTGGCTGCGCAGTGTTGTTGTGAGCAGCAGTGACTCCTCATTCTTGTACCTTGTTTGAAGGTGTTTCAGTTCATGTTTTTATTGTTATTTCGATTTTGGTCAATATCTAAAGAACGGAGGGTTTCTGGACGAAATTGTCATAGTGAGTGAATGAGGTCCATCTAGGGATAAAAGGAGCCAACTTTGAGCAAAATCAGAAATTTGGCCATGTCGGATGAGATTGTGTATGAACAAGGGAGGATCTGTACCTAGTAATTTTTAGCCATTCAAGTTTCGAGTGGCGACTAGCATAGCCCCTCGGACGATGAATTCAGCCTGTACAATGGCAGCCATCATGAAGACCATGCTCAAGGGCCGGTAGCAGCAAGGCCACGTCCTGAAATTTGGAGTAGCCCACCAACATAGTCTGTTACAACATGTCCATATTCGCCAACAAGTGGTCTTGAATATAGACATCCACTAAAATTCTCTTGGGGAAATAATCAAATTTAGAGCTCTGCAACGGCCATGCACTAGCCGATCCAACTGCATGACAGGAAAGGACACACGGAATGCCTCCATATTCCTTTTCACTCAGCTGCAAGAACTGAGAATTCATGAGAATAATCCATTCCCTCGCAGAAACTTGAATAAAGCTGCCGCGAAGTGTCACTTGCTGAACAACAGCCCATCATGACTAGAAAGAAGACCTGTTCCACAACAAATCAGCAAAGCCTACAAGAGTAGTGCAAGATGGCCCAGAAATTTCTTGTGCACTGGGCAGCTAATGTACAGAGCATGGTTCATTGGCCCCATTGAACCTCTGGAGGCTTTGTCACGGCACCCGGTGTTTTGTGCAGCCTCCATGCTGGCGGAGAAGGGAAGTGAGCCGTACTGCGGCACGGTTGTAATCTTCGTTCCGTGGCAGCCGGCGTATGTACTACTGCAGTCAGCCATCGCTAGTTTGCTAGGACATCAGCAGCAGGTACTGCCTATGGAGGCCAGTTCAGCAGTGTTGGCTGTGTCCAGCGGTCACATTCATTAAAAACTGCCTTGATTGTCAGCGCAGATCCTTACTGGGTTTGCATCGTTCTTGCTCTTTATCAGCATTTTGTCTCGCTCGTTATCAGTAATTAGCTCTGTAGGTTTTATTTCTTCTTTGATGTTTCTACAAACCCTGGTGCGCCTATCCAATAGGTAGAATAAAAAAACTCTTCCTCTACATGTATGCATGGCAGAAACTAGTACAACAAAATTTAGAAATGCCACACCCAACAGGACTCGAACCAGAACCTTGCGTGTCATTAGCAATGCTCTAACCACTGAGCTGGGCTATGGTACAAGGCTGAACCTAGAGGGCACTGACAAGTGTTTCACTCCAAAGGCAGCTCACAACACGTACCACACGTACTGACGGCACTTTGGTCTTTTTCCCTTCCTCATGGAAGACTGAGAACACATGCACTCTTCAGGCTCTTGAAAAACATCAAGAGCCAGGAGAATGTGCTTCTTCTCAGTGTTAACAAAATCTTCTTAGCTCAGATATGTTATATTTCACTTACGAAAGCACCTTGCAGCTGATACATCGTATCTCCCATTGTATTGGCATGTTCTGTAAATGTAACGATCGGCATACAGGGGGGAACTGCAAGTCTGGTAGATAATTTTCCCAGGTGTTACATACAACTGGCCGCGAAAAGTTGTCAGAGAAGAATAAGCCCAGGCTCCACTGGGTAGTATCCCGCAGGTTACTGTGAAACACAAACGAAGTGATAAAGTAATAAGTATCAGGAATTGCGCATTTACCGCACACACCAATGGCTAAAGTTAATGTTTGGCGAAGGCCCGTGTTCACGAAACCTAGTAGATGAAAAGAACTACCAAGTGTGTGTGCAGGACTGCAGGAGCAGGGATAAGCTAGTGCACTATGACTAATGGCGGTGGCAACCTTTTTAAGCCTAACACAAGGAGAAGACAGTAAAGTTAATTGCGTTAGAATAACTATAGGTGTCAGTGGTCCATAGCTATATGTTTCAAGTCTGCGAGGCATTGGTGGGTGGTGGGGCACTATTAATAGTACTTCCAAGAAGTAAAAGTAATAATAATATGCATTCTCGTGTTCATGTGCATAAATCCAAGTGTTCGCATATGGTGAACGAACAAATAATATCCGGGCAGATCAGGAAGCCAAATGGGCAGCCACAGAAACAAGACGACGGTATTTGCAAATACATGTTATGACGTTACCTTACATACATACAGGGGCACTATACCTGGCAATTATTAAGTGAAGTCGTATGTTGAGCTCTTTCTTACCTTTACAAACATTGCCATTGCCAACAAATCCATCATTACATTCACAGGTGTAGCTACCTAAAGTATTGTTACATGTGGAGTTGCCACTGCAGTTGTACAGAGACGTTGCACATTCATTCACATCTACACACACATGGATCAACATAAATTATCACAAACCAGGCATTGATATGCACTGCACTTGACTGTTACATGAAAAAAATTGAAAAATTGTACGGGCTAACATCCAGGGGCTGTCAAGAATCGCCTTTCCAGTTCCTTGAGATGACACCACCCCATGACCAGCATAAGATGCAGCTCCTAAACGGTAGGGGATGATGGATCAGATTCACCAACCAGAGGCCAAAGGCCGAAACCCCATTGGCCACATCCGTGTTCTCATCTTTCCAGGCCACAAGTCCCCAATTCACTGTGGATCGCAGCTCGGCTGGAAAAACCATTCCACTTTCCAGCAGGACTTGAACCTGTACCTCACATTTGAGTCATTCCTCAAGAAGGGTTTTCGACCAACCCACTGTGACTGCCTGTTACATAGGTGGTACCAAGAGTACATAACCAATATTGTGCGACAGCAGAACTTCACATCACGTGACGCGGTTCAATAGGTTACGCTGGCAAGCAGTGCAAAGTGACCAGCAAAGAGTTGAACACAAAGCAGGATTGCGTTCAACCCTGCATCTAATATGCGCAGGGGGCAAATAATGTGTATGGGTTGATAATGCGATATGAAGTTCTGCGGTCGTAGAACACACGGCTGGAGTTGTACACTTTTGGCGATTACGTACTCCTTTCAGTACAAATTACAAACAGATTCATAGTAACCTGTGTATTGATGTGTATGGAGACGCTAGTCTTAGGAAATAAGTGGAATAACATATCTTCTTCCAGGGCCATCAAAGCCAAGGCACTATAATATCCTAGGGACATCGACTGAATGACACAACACTGATCTCCAAGTTCCACACTGTTCATTGAATGTATTCCCATGTTCTTTCCACAAAAACTCTTTGGTACAAGAATATTGGAGTAAAGGCTAGTTAATTCCGTATTCTTAAAAGCATGCTCTAGCACTGACCTAGACACTTGGGTAAGGCTGTGGTCCACTGGGCACTACTGTCACACAACAGTTGTGAGCTTCCTTGCAAAACAAATCCGGGAAGGCATTGAACGGTGGTGTTTTGTCCAGGATAGTATGTGTCTGTTGACATGTTAGCACCTACTATCACTGGTAAACTGCAATTTGGCGTTTCTGTCAGCAAGAAACAAAACAGCAAATCACCATAGCAACCCCATGTAATGCAACACTGAAAAACATTCTACTTAATATGGAAATGGTTTGAGGCAACTTCGGCAGCGCTTGGAAAATGGTGTGTTTCTTCCTGCAAGGGAGCTAGCATTTTTCCGGTTTATTTGAATTCTCGGTTGACTGACTGACGGCTGCAATCCATGGCACACAGGGAAATGCGTCGAGCCTTCCACTTGGCCAACAGGCAACACAGCACAGCCATGTGCTCAAGAAGCAGTGCAGGGAGTGATGCTGTCTTACAGGTTTGCCGAGTGGAATATGTGATGGGCCGCTCGCGATCTGGCAAATTTTGGGCCAGTTAGGTGTCAAGGTCTGCAAGTAGCGTATGTTTCACGCGTGAAGAACCACTACAGCTTTAATACCGCCAAAGTCATTAATCCCAAGGCCACATTGCTGGTGCTCATGCGGATATGTGCCCAGCTGTTGGAGATGCCAGCGTTTTGAAAAGCTACTGGACCTCAGCTTCGCACCCGTCCAGGAGTGACTCTGACTCATACTTCCACTGAGAGCTTCACGAGGTGCTCAGCACACTGGGAACAGGGCATCATTGTATCTTTCATTATCTCTAATTTTGCTTGGGCAGCTGAAGCACTATGAACAGCTCAGCTCCAGGAATTTCATTAGCCTAATCAAGCTCAACTACTAATCCGGGGGAATTCCTCGGAACACTGTGTTGGATAGACGAAAAAACACAAGGTTGCTTCCTAACTCATTTCTTTGTGTTTTATTCTTCTATTTTACATTTATTACTGGCTCATTATCCGAGTTTGGTTTGCACACCTCATGAGCCATCAGGAACAATACTGTGAACAGGACGTCGTGTGAAATTTTTTTATCGTAGTCAAGTCGTCCACAATAGTGTCACGCATGAGGAGTACCGTTAGATACTTGACGTCTGGTTTTGTACAATTCGTCGTCGCAAAGCATCTCCCTTGCTTTATCTCTGATATTGCTGACCCACCCAAGTTGGGTGGTTTGTTGCTTTGCTGCTTCGAAGTGCAGTTAAACTGCATTGCCATGCTATTAACTGGTCTTGGCATCGTCCTGTAACAGTCAGCATTCTTTGTTGCCGTGGGACTTATCTTGTGCACATTTTCGCTGCACTCACCTTCCTCTCTTCAGTTTTACCTAACCATGAACGTTCCCGGAAAGCTGTTTGTTTGCGTACTGGACATGTGTTGGAGCTAGGTCTCAGGTCGTTGAATGTATTGCCTGTCAGTTTTGTGCCCAGTTATAGCACTTTCTGACTGCATATTTTCTTGTTACAGTCGTGGATAGTTGCTTCATAACTCGTTTCCTGGTGTTTTCTTCTTCTATTTTAAATTAAACAGTACTGGCTCATTATCCGAGTTAACAATGTGTTTTTGTTTTTATTGTTTTCGAGCAAGGAGGGGTCATTTCTTGCAGATTTACCATGTGGCTGGGGGTGCTCCGGAGGACAGAATCTTAACCATAGTGTACACGGCTCACTTCAATATTTCATCATGGTGGTATTCCGGTATCAATTGTGCAATTTAAAGGTATTTAAAAGACTTTTGTCATTAAGACGTGTGTTCCCTAAAGCATGCTGGAGAGCGGAAGCAGTTTTTGGAGCTCCGTAGTTTTTTTAGCATAATAGTCCGCTCCCAGCCCGTATGGCTGTGGATGCACAGGTAGTACACTAGATCACTTAGAGTGCTGATTCACTACAACCGCCAGGCGCCTTGGCCGGAAACGGAGCTGATACGGAGCCCTGGCGACAGCTCTAGTCTTCGACACTGAAGAAGAACACTGTTGTATTCCCCTCGCAAGCCCAGGTAAGCGTGGGGGCCTACATAAAGCTCCTAGAAGAGCAAGGTATCACCGGCATCATTTCGATGCAGACAACAAGCAGGGGTCAATGTAGACTTACCGTTGAGTCATATGAAAAAGCAAAATTGTCGGTGCTCAATGGCTTCGATTGCAAGGGCGAACGGGTTTCACCGCGCTTCGTTTCCGCACCAACAACACAGTTACACATCCATTATGCTCCAATCTGGATCTCAGACGGTGTCCTAAAAGCTGCGCTCTCACCGGACGGAAAGCTTATCGGTGAGATACGACACGGCAAAATCAAACTTTCAAACGGCACCCAAACAGCAACTGGTGTGCGATTCGCCTCGTTCGAACTGAAACCAGGCAGTTCGATTCCGTCGTACCTGCGTACGACAGAAGGCTCCCACGAGCTCCGCATCATCTACGACGGCCAGGCAGGCATGTGCAGGCTATGTGGCCAGATAGGTCACATTGCGCGTACCTGCCAAAACCGTCGCAGTGCACACACCTCCACGCATGCCGGCAGAGAAGGCAGCAGCACTGGCAGCACAGAGCGGAACAGCGGAGCTGAAGCTGACTCTCATGCTCACCGTACCGAATCTGCACCAAAAGTGGCCCAGAGTTCGACCAACGTCAGCGCAGTATCCAAAACGGCCTCCGACGGTGCCAACAGCACGCCGAAAGCAGACCTGCTCCCCAGCTCGCACCCAAACGACCCAGTCCACGACCAGTACGACATTACATCGCCCACGTCGGCAACAAGCACGACCGTGCACCCCGGAACGCCGCCAAGCAGCACAGGTACAGCTACAGGTACGACAACATCCAACTCACCGCACACCGACACAACTACTCCTACCACCACAACATGCAATCACCCAGATTCGGCGCGTGCTGAAGACCTCCTCTCCTCACTGGTGACTAACACAGACACGTCTAAACATCCAGTAAACCCCTGGATTACCTCCGAACGACGCAGGAGAACCAGTCCCTTGGCGGAATCCTCGTCTGATTTCAAAAATTCCAAAAAACAAAAAGAGAGCAACAGCATCGACCCTGGCCACTGCCAGCCCTTTGCCCCAGCACCAGGGCTCACGCTTCAGCCCACTGGTGTCACAGGATACTCAATCCTAGCCTACAGTGACGTTGTTCTCCACACCTTTTACGTATTTCATTATTACTTCCTCCTGCAATGAAGGGTAGCAAGCATCTTCGCATTCTCTGCACAAACGCTTTTGGCCTAGCCAGCAAACTTTTCGACCTACAGCACGCACTCCTGCAGCATCAGCCCGACGTCGCAATAGTGACAGAAGCGAAGTTCACCGCGGAGAAAGTGCTTCCCTCTGACATTAGTTTCCCTGGATACAGCTCACCATTTCGGTTTGATAGAATGGCACATGGAGAGGGGTAGCCATCTGGGTGAAGTCGTCACTCCCCTCCATGCTCATCCCTGAACTCATGTCCCCCGCACATGAGATCATCTGGGTCTCTCTCCAGCTGGGCCCAGGTCTCCGCACCGTCTTGGGAGCAGTGTATCGGCCGGGGTCCTGTGCCCCTAGCGATCTCACCCTAATTGATCATCTCGACACCATCCTCCCAGAAGCTAGACACCAGGGCCCCCACATTATCCTAGCTGGCGATTTCAACGTGCACAACCGGGCTTGGTTGAACGGCTCGAAAACTACGCCTGCAGGCGAGGCTCTCGAAGATACCTGCGCTGCCCATCTTCTTTTTCAGCACGTCACAGTACCGACTCGTGGAGACAATCCGCTAGACCTCATAATGTCAACGTTCACATCCCCAGTAACTACACGTATACTTCCGCCCCTCGATCTGATCATGCAGTTGTACTGTTCTGTGCTGCCTAGACGTGAACCCCCTGTTAAGCGAACAGTATTTCGCTACAACAGGGCAGACTGGGATCGCCTCAGGGCGCACCTTCGCAACTTGGAATGGGGTAATATCATCACGGACGACCCAGAAACTTCGTGTGAGCAGGTTACCGCTTCAATAACTGCAGCTGTTGCACAGTTTGTCCCATCCAAAGTTCTGGAAACGAGGCCTTCCGATCCGGTATGGTGGACGCCTGAATGCACCCAGACCGAGAGGGAGAAGGAGAAGCGCTGGGGCGATTGGAGAAAACACCCTTATGACCCAACACTTCAGCAGGCATTCACCAATTCTGTGACTGTAGCGATCGCCACCCAGTTCCGATCACGACGTGCAAAGGAGGACAGCCTCCGTCGCAGCCTTTCAACTGGGTCCCTCAGAGACAAACAGTGGTGGACGAAGTTGAAGAGCGCTGCAGGCAACCGCACACAGCTCGAAATTCCCCTAATTGTCGACTCTGACGGCCGCGAGTGGGCAACGAGCTCAGAGAAAGCAGAGGCATTCGCTCGCTTCTTCTCGAAGAAATGCAGCGTTGCCGGTCCGGACCTTGTGGAGGCTGACCTACCGGACCCTGCTCCCTCAGATGCTCCACCTCTTCGCACCATCCGCTTCCGCCCAGACGCTGTGCGCCGCCTTCTGGCAAAGCTCGACGTCTCCAAGGCTACAGGGCCTGACGGTATTTCTGCTCGCGTCCATAAGGAATGTGCCCACGAGCTCGCAGAGCCACTGTCCAAGCTATTTGCTTTATGCTTCCGGTCTGGAGTCCAACCTAGAATGTGGAAGACGGCCAACGTGGTTCCGATCCGCAAGCGATCTTCCCGCTCAACCCTTAAGAACTATAGGCCCGTATCCTTACTGTGCATAATCTCGAAACTCATGGAAACTCTAGTAAACAGACACATCGTAAACTATTTTGACGACCACTATCTGCTCACGTCGCACCAGTTTGGATTTCGCAGAGGCCTCGGCCCATCAGACGCTTTGCAAGCTCTCCAAACTGCCTGGGCAAGCGCTGTGGGCTGCGGAGGGGCGGCTCATATCCTTGCTGTGGACATCGCAGGAGCGTTTGACCGTGTCTCTCATGTCGGCCTCCTCCACAAGGTGCGCAGCCTAGGCATCGATGGTCCGCTCCAGAGATGGCTTGCCTCGTACCTGGACACCCGTTCATTACAGTGCCTTGTTGGAGGGCGTACGTCAGCTTCGTATACGACCTCCGCTGGAGTCCCCCAGTGAAGCATTCTTGGTCCAACGCTTTTCCT